TGCGAAGAAAAAGCCTCCGTTCTCAGTGACTTGTAAATCGATTTCGGACGAGTTTCCCGTAGGCATCTTACCAATCACCGCTACCGAAGATACGGCTGCATATGTGTACCCATGTATGCATGCAGCATCACGGCCGCTTCATACCAATCCCTTCGCTTCATAATTTGCTTAGCAAATGAATGAGCGTCAGGAACGGTCGTCCGTTTGTGGGCGGGCGGGCGAGGAAGGCGTTTGGGACGGAATGTTGTTGCTCGATAGGGCGTTATAGGGGTACCCTCCTTGGAAAAGGCGCCACGGAGCGCCTGTCCGAGGTCACGGAATTCTGTTAAGCCAGTCGTATAAATCCTACATCTGTATAGCGATTTATCGTGCCAACTGCCTTTAAGAGAACCGTCCGCGATCTGTGAAAATGCAAAAGGTTGTGTGGGTTAGCGCGGTCCGCGGTGGACAACCTTGTGCCAGTTTTGCGGCGGAAAGTTGTAAGGTAAAGGAGTTATGACGCAAAGTTGCCTCAGTGACACCTCCCTTTTTCCAGTGACTCCGCCTCCAGACTCCGCTTCCAAAGCTGTCTTCCAGCCAAAAGCGATCCTCTCTCATAGGTAGCATGAAGAGAGATGCTTCATAGTCTCTTGCGGAGTCGCGCCCATTAGGAATGAACCGACTGGATGCGATTCAACACGCGGTCTTTCGGCCTTTTACCCGTACAACTGTCTGAGACTGGAGTGGTCCTATTAGGGGCGTTTCCGACGTTCCCTTTGGCATTTTCTCTTTACAGCGAGTCCAGGTTGTCTTCCTTATTTCAACACCATTAAATAAGGTCCTCATCGCGGACCGTGCCTTTAAACTCCGTGTTGCAGTCCTTGTCACCAAAGTAAGTCAGGACGTTTCAGAACGCGAAGCCCTACCCACCACTCATTAAACGTCTAAAGCCACAAAGATTGATGGAAAATAGACTTGCGCCACGCTAAAACCCAAGCAACGCTGATACGCTCCGACTAACTTTAATGATAATGACTGTGCATCCACCACCCACAGTCTTCTTGTGTCGTCCGTCTTACAGCTAAAATATCGCAGAGTTGGGCGGTGCCAGGAGGCATGAAAAACGGCTTTCTTTCCAGCTATGATCACTATTGTCAAGAAATGTGACCAGGGGAGGGTTCATTACACGCCTCTTAGCACCACCCCGACCGACTATGACGATATGAACTGCATGCACATACTACCTACGCCTCTTGTGGGTACTGTGTACCGTTGCAACGCCTACAATCGAGTCTGTGGACCCTCCCGCTTCAAGGCCAAAACATGGAGTCTGATCCCCATGTACTGTACACTTGTTGAATCATTGCTTATGGAACCTTTTCATTCAAACCATTACATTATTTTTATTTTGGAATAAATGCTAGTTGTTCATGTGTGATACTGTTCTTGATACCGTATACAAATTACCTGTAAATGAAGGAGCGTGGTTACATGGCATAAGACGAGATTTTCATGGAATATTTCTTTTCGAGACAACTGTCATCCCGTCACGCCTGACTAGCGCAAAGGCAAAATGCCCCTTCCAAAGCCGAACAGCCGCAACAACGGGAGTGCGCAATCAGGTGCCAAAAAACAGAAGTAAAAGTAAGTTTTCGTTGCTAAACACTCCCTTTTTAGGCAGCCCCCGTTTCATTTTGATTCAGGAATGTAAGAACTTAGTGAAGTCTATGTGACTCATAGGATTGACTTTTCAAGTGAGCCAACATACAAGCCAGTTTTGTTATAACTGCTGTTTTACGCCGCAGTTCGCGTTCCGATAACAGCCGTTAAGCTGAGAGGGTAAAAGCGGCCCTGGTGGCGTAACGGATAGCGCACTCGCCCGGAAAGCGTGAGGTGCGGGTTCGACTCCCGCCTGGGGCACGACTTTTGCCCATAACTCAGCATTCTTGTGATACAAGCCAAAGTTTCACACTCCAAGACAAATTCAGTACTCATCTACCGCTCTGCAGGAGGAATGTATGATATAACCAAAGCCCTCATACTAGGCTTCAAGCCACTCTAATGCATAACAGCAATAACAATTATGAAAAGATTTACTCGCTTTAATTAGTATTAACCGTAACGAACATGCGTACATTCGAAACTAAGCTCTCTGTATTTATAGTATTATACACACCATTTAACAACACTTATTACCCGACATTGCAACACGACGCAATAATTATCAACAACGTAAATCAAGGCCTGTGCGTGATGAACCGGCCACATCACCAGGCACACTATACCGTACATTCTCTTCCTATACCTGAGACGCGGTGGGCGTGGCTGCGTACTTCACTTAAACGTTTGCAGAGGCTAGGCTATTTGTGGGGTACTTCAGTTATGCACAACTGTCAATCGTGTGTTAGACAACGAAATGATTGTCTCAAAAAAATCCCATCAAAAGAGCCGCCTTCGCCACGGTCGAGGGAATAGCTGCCACGCCCCTCGCATCCCGGGGATATGGAGTATACATATCCGAAAGACCCTTACGTTGATTCGCCTTTAATGGACAAAACCAACTCTTTCTGGAGAAAATAGTGTGCCTTGCGTGTTTACCCGAGTCATTACTGTGCTACATTTTACTGCGAGACTTTTAAAACATCTAAATATTATGTGAATTGAACTAACTAATGATATGCGCAATGTGAGTGCAAGAAAGTCAACCAGCGGAGCGCACCAGCAAGCCAATGCCAGGATGGGGCTGTTTAAGGGAGCTGAGCGCTATGCGACGACAGCATGCGAACTCTACGTTCCTGCTTATGGGAGCGTTCAGACTTCAGCGCTTCGGTCGCCACTCGACGCGATCGATGCGCATGCTTTCAACTGCATCGATCGCGTCGAGCGCGCGACCGAAGCGCTGCGCCTATGATCCCACTACGTCTAAAAAGTTCACGGCAATACAGAAAGAGGGAGCTACTATTGCTGTGAAAGAGGAAAAAGATTCACGGCAATACAGAAGAAAAGAGGAAGAGCTACTATTGCTGTTAATCAGGAGGAAATGCTGAACATCTACGGCGACTAGTAAGTAAGGGACGTTATTGATTAGTAAAATGTACAAAATCACACCCAGACACGTCTTGATAACTTCCGCAAATGCACTAGCTCTACAAGAAATCTTATTGTTAATCAATCAACTCTTCGGTAACCTTGAAAAGAAGAAGAGAAAGCATCTAGCTATCTAAACAGGAGAGAAAAAGGAGAGAAGAAACGATAAGACCGCGTTCAGACTAAGCGATCGCGCGATCGAATCGTTCGATTGGATCGCGCAATCGTGAAGTCTGAGTGCGGTCACGAGAGAGAGAGGGAGAGAGAGCAGGGCTAAAGGTGGGAGACGGACTGAACTTTACCAACCACCCTTTGTCAAAAATGATCGCGCTTACTCAATGCTTCACTACGAAAATATCGCTACCAATGTTTGTACGTGGGGATAAGCGCAAGAATGTCTATCACAATAGAAGAGATCATCAAAGTCCATTAAAGGACACACCGGGAAGAAAATTCAATATACACATACAACACTACTACTGGTATGACCAGCTAAAAAGGCCCGTTCCATAATATCCGGAGAGAACTTCATGACCCATGAGGACGATCACTATCACCATCGATTTCACACCATTAGTGGTGAATTTATTGAAATAAGCGGATCTGATGGGCCGTCCTTGTCTTCTGTTGCCTCCTTCTCACATCTGTCTTGCAAGAGTGTAACTAAAACACAAATAATTCGAAAAAAGAAACGTTTTGAAAGAAAGCAAAAGCAAAAAAGCGATAAATCAGGAGTTGAATCTGAAAAGAACATCGTCAAAGAAAAGAAATTTCGGCAAATAAACTTGAATAAAATCAGGGCACGTCCTGCGTTGAGGAATTCCCAGTAGGGATGAGGAAGTCGTAGTTGCCTTTGACAGGAGTTTGGGTCGTGAACTTTTTTCTCCGGTTGTCCGATTTTGCAGTTTTTTCCTGTTTCACATGTGCTATGGTGGCCTCTCACCATTAGAATTAGCACACAATTACTATTTTCGATGACTGGTAGTTGCTTAGTGACGATCTCGCTCTCCCTCCCCGCGCACGACGGCAAAATTTTGAGAAAAGCTGGAAAATTTTCGGGAAATTTCGGTAAGTGAGAGGAAGCTTGGAAAAGTCGGGAAGAGAATAGGTGAGATGAGGAAGGTGGGGCGGAGGGTAGCAGAGGACGGAACTGGGAAAGGGTCGTACTTACTGAACACTTACGTACTTACTGAAAATTAGAAAATTTGGCACTATTTACCCGTCGTTGCTCCGATCATCTGAAATCTTGCCAGTTTTTGACCGAATTTTTTCCTCGTTAACTGGCTGAAAATTTGTCTCCTGGGGTAGTTTGACCTTCTGAACATGAACATCACATCCGCTCGGCACAAAACCTTCTGACGCCCGCGCCACAGGCGCCGGCGCTGAAAATTTGTTCATGTGGCAGTTTGATCTCCTAAACACGAATATCACACCCGCTCAGCGCGAAACCTCCTGCCGCCCGCGCTACAGGTGCTGGCGCCAAAATACCCCAGATCACCGGCGCCTGTGGCGCGGGCGCTATGAGTTTTCGGGCCAAGCGAACGTGATATCCGTAAAAGGCACGTCAAACTACCCCATGAGACAACATCTG